TTTTTTGAGCTAAGCTATCAAGTTTGCCCTTTCTCCCTTATTAATGCCAGTGAAGATCATGTTTGTTCCAGGGATGTACTTGAGATTCTCCAAATACTCCATCAGTACATCCTCTCCCCAAGTGATGCCTTTGTTCTTATTGGTGTCTGTGTAAGAGAAGCCAATAGCCTGACCTGTCATCTGCCCCAAAAGACCAGGGAGATTTGATCCAGTCTTGTGCTTGCCTTTATTTTCCACAATATGGCACTGGGCACACTTCTGAACAGAAATCCTGCCTTTCTCAATATCACCCATATTTAATTCATTCTTTGGTTGGTGACAGTACAGAAGTTCTGGGCTGGAAGCTGGACGTCCTGCTTTCTCCATAAATTAGTTTTATTTATTTTTAAAGATCCAGTTTATGGATTTATTTATAGTGTTACCAATCTCATCTTCATGTTTACTTTCTAGGGAACATTTATGAATTTGATTTTTTATTGTTTAGAGGAGAGGGTGGAGTTTAGAAGACCATTGAGGCTACACAGCAGGGTTAGCCTCAATTTAAGTATGTTATCTTCAGATTCTTCCTAAATATCATTACCTATGTTAATATTTCCTGTTATAGCATTCCATTTGATACAAAGATAAGATTATAATGAGAAGACAGATTAGTGTGATGCTTCATGTGTTATTGATTCGTGAATTATTCTGCTGATAATAATCACCCTCTTTCTGCCCAGCCTGTTCTAGGCAATGTGTATTCAAGGGTGAAAATGTTCCTGCCCATGAAAGTTTACATTATAGTAACATTAAACTAAGTTAACATGTAAGATAATGTTAAGTAAGTTATGTGTTATGAAGTGCAAAGCAGGATAGAAAATGATGAGAATGTACTATTTTATACTGGGTGGTGAGAGAAGGCCATATTGAAGAGGTAATATGTGAGTAGAATTTCAAGTGAAGACAAGTATGTGAGATAACTAGTCAAGGAACTTTTTGAAGAAAGGGCTTTTCAGGCACAGAAACACCCAGTGTAGTACTATATTTTTTGTAATTTAAACAGAAAAGGTGCAATGAAAAAAGTAGTGTTCTTAGAGTGGCAATAAAATGAGTACTCATGTGAGTAAAGGGGACTAAGCAAACAAGAGAGTAGTAGAGAATAAGGTCAGAGTACCAGGTTGTAGCAAGTTTTGAAAACTGGTGGGAATTTTGATTTCATTCTAAGTGTTTTGAGAAAGCACAAGAAAGTCTTAACCAGAAAAGTAAGGTGATCTGATTTGGAACTGAGAGAGGAAAAGCAGATTAAGGTCTGTACTAGGTTTTAAAAAAATCAGTCAGTTTTTGATATAAAATTGCTATTATAGGAAATTATCTTAGTTTCCCGAATCAATTTAAATTATATATTTGGTTGGATTTTATCACATAGAAAGTGATTTTAAGGAAGACCTTTTTCTGACTGTAGTAATTTAACGATAGTATTTCATGTGCATCATAAGGATACTAATAGTGCCTGGTGTGTAGTTCCAGTGGAAGGTTTTTAGCTTCATTATTGACATTAAAAAGTTAGCTTTTAGGCTTGGCGCCTGTGGCTTAAGTGGCTAAGGCACCAGCCACATACACCTAAGGTGGCAGGTTCAAATCCAGCCCGGGTCTGCCAAAACAACAATGACAGCTGCAACCAAAAAATAGCCAGGCGTTGTGGCGGGCGCCTGTGGTCCCAGCTGCTTGGGAGGCTGAGGTAGGAGACTCGTTTGAGCCCTGGAGTTGGGGGTTGCTGTGAGCTGTGATGCCACAGCACTCTACCCAGGGGGATAGCTTGAGGATCTGTCTCAAAAAAAAAAAAAAAAAGGTTAGCTTTTAGCTTGAATGCAGGGTAACTTGTAGTAAGAGAGAAAAAAGGGTTTGGAGACTATTCTATTAATTTAGTGATGATTCTGATTTTATTTTAATTATTATTATTATTTTGTAGAGGCAGAGTCTCACTTTATCACCTTGGGTAGAGTACTGTGGTGTCACAGCTTGCAGCAACCTCCAACTCCTGGGCTTAGGCAATTCTCTTGCCTCAGCCTCCTGAGTAGCTGGGACTACAGGCGCCTGCCACAACACCAAGCTATTTTTTGTTGCAGTTTGGCCGGGGCCGGGTTTGAACCTGCCACCCTTGGTATATGGGGCTAGCACTCTACCCACTGAGCTACAGGCGCCACCCGATGATTGTGATTTTAGATGACCTTTTCAATATTTGCCTTATTGATTATGTATGATTAATTTATTTCCTTAGTCAACTTTCTCTCTTTTTTTTTTCTTGAGACAGAGTCTCATATTGTTGCCCCCTGTAGAATGCCCTGGAATCATAGCTCACATCACCCTCATACTCTTGGGCTCAAGCTATTCTCTTGCCTCAGCCTCCTAAGTAGCTGGGACTACAGGCACCCGTCACAATGTCCAGCTATTTTTTTTAGAGATGGGGTCTTGCTTCCAGCTCAGGCTGGTCTTGAACCTGTCAGCTCAAGCAATTCACCCATCTCGGCTTCCCAAAGTTCTGGGATTACAGGTGTGAGCCACCACACCCAGCTTAATCAACTTTCTTAAGTTCTCATTCTTTATAATCATATTTTAAAACTATATTAATAGCTACTAAGTCCTTGAATTTATTTATTTTCACCTGTTTTTGTTTTAGAATTTCTTTTCTTCTAATGAATAAATACAAAAGAAATTTGTATTCTTCATATTTTTTAGGCTTGAAGTATGTGTTTAAAAATGAATTTTCATCAAAGCAAGATATTTATGAAGAATCATCCAAAGCAATGACATTGGGAAGAAGCCATCTTACTTATAGCTTTGACTGCCTCAATATGAGAGAAGACTGTGAAAATGAGGACTGGTTTATGAATCAGGTGGGAAGTCAAGAAGTTCATTCTAGTCCTTTAATCATCACCCATAAAGATATTATCCCAGAAGATCAAAGTAATAAATACAATAAATCTTGGCAAACATTTCATCAAGATGCAATATGTAATATACAAGAGAGTTTTCCCACCAAAGAAAAAGTACATAAGCATGATCCACAAAAGAGAAGTTACCGAAAAAAATCAGTTGAATCGAAACATAAGAAAGTCTATGTGGAAAAAAAACTTTTGAAATGTAATGAATGTGAGAAAGTCTTCAATCAGAGCTCTTCCCTTACTCTTCATCAAAGAATTCATACTGGAGAGAAACCTTATGCATGTATTGAATGTGGGAAAACCTTCAGCCAGAGTGCAAACCTAGCTCAACATAAGAGAATACACACTGGGGAGAAACCCTATGAATGTAAAGAATGTAGGAAAGCCTTCAGCCAGAATGCACATCTTGCTCAACATCAGAGAGTTCATACTGGAGAGAAACCTTACCAGTGTAAAGAATGTAAAAAAGCCTTCAGCCAGATTGCACACTTAACTCAACACCAGAGAGTTCATACTGGAGAGAGACCTTTTGAATGTATTGAATGTGGGAAAGCTTTTAGTAATGGTTCATTTCTTGCTCAACATCAGAGAATTCACACAGGAGAGAAACCTTATGTGTGTAATGTATGTGAGAAAGCCTTTAGCCATCGTGGATATCTAATTGTACATCAGAGAATTCATACTGGAGAGAGACCCTATGAATGTAAGGAATGTAGGAAAGCTTTCAGCCAGTATGCACATCTTGCTCAACATCAGAGGGTTCATACTGGAGAAAAACCTTATGAATGTAAAGTATGTAGGAAAGCCTTCAGCCAGATTGCATACCTTGATCAGCATCAAAGGGTTCATACTGGAGAAAAACCTTATGAATGTATTGAATGTGGAAAGGCTTTTAGCAATAGTTCTTCACTTGCACAACATCAGAGAAGTCATACCGGAGAAAAACCCTATATGTGTAAGGAATGTAGGAAAACATTTAGCCAGAATGCAGGCCTTGCTCAACACCAGAGAATTCATACTGGAGAGAAACCTTATGAATGTAATATTTGTGGGAAAGCCTTTAGCTATAGTGGATCTCTTACTCTACATCAAAGAATTCATACTGGAGAGAGACCATATGAATGTAAAGATTGCAGGAAATCATTCAGGCAGCGAGCACACCTTGCTCATCATGAGAGAATTCATACTATGGAGTCATTCTTGACTCTTACCTCTCCCTCACCCACCACATCCAATCAGTTGCCAAGAACTGTAGGTTTTATCTCCTAACTGTGTTCAGAATACGATCTCTTCAATCTTTCCATTTCATCCTTGTCCAATGAACATTAATGTATTTGACATGGAATATGGAAATAGCTTTCTTATTCATCAGTACCTCTGTCAGCCAAACTTAAAGAAATCAGTTGTATCATTTTGCCATTAAAACTCCTCAGTGGCATTCCATAATTCTGAAGTTAAAGCACACATTCCTCAAAATAGCCCATAAGACTTTTTATTCACAATAACTTGTTCCAAACTATATTCCAAAGCCCTCTCATGTTACTATCCATTTTATTCTAGCATCAAGCAGACATGGGTTACAATTCTTCCTCTTCCATTTTTGAGCCCTCTAATCTGGGGAGAGTATTTTGTCCTTTGAAAGCTTCAGTCTTGTTTATATTATGAGAATAATAATGGTACTACCTCAAAAGATAATGGAAGAATTAAATAATGCATGTAAATTGCTCAGCAGAGTGCCTACCATAAAGTAATAAATATTTATGTGAAATTAAAAGATGCCATGGTATACAATGCAGAGCTACTAATCTCAGTTGTGACCATCTAAGAAATGAAAAGAAAATCAGCAGCTCAGGACTCAGAAATTGTGGATTTTTGATTAGGAATAGTAATGCTTGTTCTAAATGTAGGTTGTGAGGGTATCTAATACAATAGGATTGACTAAAGGATCTCACCTCTATCTCAGCATGAACATGTAGATATTCGACTTCATTGGTAAGAAAAACAACTTAGCTGAGTGCAATGGCTCATGCCTGAAATCCTAGCACTTAGTAGGCTGAGGTGGGTGGAGTGCTTGAGCTCACAGATTTAAGATCAGCCTGAACAAGAGCGAGACCCTGTCTTTAAAAAAATAACTGGGCATTGTGGCAGTGCCTGTAGTTGCAGCTACTTGGGAGGCTGAGGCAAGAGAATTGCTAAAACCCAAGAATTTGAGATTGCTGTGAGCTGTGGTGCCGTAGCACTCTACTGAGGGTGACAAAGTAAGACTCTGTCTCAAAAAAAGAAAAAAAAAAAACTTAGATATTCAACAGTTCTGAGAAATCAGTTTTAAAATTTATAAGATGAATAACATTTACTCAGATGTATTGACCATTTATATGTAAGCAGATGCAAAATAAAAATTTAAAACATGAAACAGAAAACTTAAAAAAACCACTAGACAACAAAGAACAGAAAATAAAAGTTTGTAAACACCTAATTCTGGATAAATGAATTATATCAAACCCATGACATTTAAATTAGAAAAAGTTGTTAAGTTTCTAAAATTCCAAAATTAAAAGAAAAGAAAAACTATATCTCAATACTCCTAGACACTGCCAACAAACATGTTTGATTGGTTTATATTGAAGTTAAAATAAATATGAATACCTTTAGGAGAACATATGTTTTCTAGTTCTCCAAACTACTTCTCACATGTGACCTGTTTTACTCTTCATATTTCTTGACTACTGAAGTATGTAATCAGTGCAGTAAACAAATCCCATGTGAATACAGATACAAATAGAATGATGAATATTTAATGGAAGATGAAAAGGAAGATTTTTGAAATCCTCTTTGGTGAGATTAGCAATCATACACATAACAGTAGCCTGTAAATTAATCTACAGATTCTTTGTACCTAGCAAAATCTGGGGAATAATTTTTCAAGGTTTGAAACGTGTGAAGATACACATGCATTCATACACGTGCACACAAAACATATAATAAAAATGACATTTCATGTGACTGGTTTGAAAATATCAGGAAAATTGATTCTGCTCCGTACAAAATTAATGCTCTCGTTCTATACATGAAAGCTATTTTCAAATGCTTAACCTAAATGTGGAACAAGCAGTTTTTAGAGGATGGTGTGACATATACTCCTGGAATGAAAACAATTATTCCTATATGTGAAATATGCAAGCCTTCTTACCCCCACCCCCAGAAGAGTTACAGGTTTGACTGCATATGAATTTTAGAAAGCTTTTGTATGTGTGTGTTTGTCCTATGAAATTCATATCCTTAACAATGTCCTATAAATCACTTAACAAATGATACTTCTCCTCCCGCCATAAGCAGAAGATAGGAAGACTCAACTGTGATCCATAAATGAAATAAGTACTGAATCTCACTGAGATTAGGAGAAATAAAGACAGTATCCATTTTTTCACAGATGGGTAAAAATTTGTCCTACCCCTGGCTTCCTTCAAGATTTTCTGTTTTCAGCAGTTTGAACATGATGTGTCTATGTGTGCGTACACTTTTAGTATTTACCTGTTTTGGCTTTTTTTTTTTTTTTTTTGGAGACAGAGTTTCACTTTATTGTCCCTGGTAGAGTGCTACAGCATCATAGCTCACAGCAACCTCAAACTCTTGGGCTCAAGAGATTCTGTTGCCTCAGCCTCCCAAGTAGCTGGGACTACAGACACCTGCCACAATGCTCAGCTGTTTTTAGAGATGGAGGTCTCGCGGTAGCTCAGAACTAGTCTCAAACTTGTGAGCTCAAGCCATCCATCTGCTTCAGCCTCCCAGAGTGCTGGGATTACAGGAGTGAGCCACTGCACCCAGCCTTACCTTTCTTGGTTTTACAGATTTGTGTTAATGGGGTCATTAATTTTGGAAAATTATTAGCCATTATTTCTGCAAATATTTCTTCTGCCTCAGTTACTTTATACCTTCTGGGATTCAAATTTTGTGTGTTGAACCAGCGGATATTTCCCCATAACTCTTAGATTTTCTATTCTTTTTTGTCATCACTCCTCCCACCCCTATGTTTCAGTTTGGATAGTTTTTATTTACCTGTTTTCACGTTTACTTGTTCTTTCTTTGGCTGTGTGAAGATATTGATGAACATATTGAAGACTTCATCTGCTAACTGTGTTTTATAGTATTTCCATTCAAGTTTTTTTTTTTTTTGACAGAGTCTCACTCTGTTGCCCTGAGTAGAGTGCTGTGGGATCATAGCTCACAGACTCAAACTCTTGGGCTCAAGTGATCCTCTTGCCTCAGCCTTCCCAGGAGCTGGGACTACAGGTGTGCACAATGCCTGGCTAGATTTTTCTATATTTAGAGATGGGGGTTTCATGCTTACTCAGGCTATTTTCAAACTCCTGAGCTCAAGGAATCCTCCCACCTCAGCCTCCCAGAGTTCTGGGACTACAGATGTGAGATACTGCTTGGCCTCCATTTGATTTTTACAATGTCATTCTGCTCAAATTATGTGTGTGGGGTTTTGCATGTGAAACCCGATGAGGTTTGAATGCTGGCTGGGAAAACAACACTGGAAATATGGGAGTTTAAAACAAAGTTTGAAAGTGCCTGGAGGCTCGGCGCCTGTGGCTCAAGTGGCGAAGGCGCCAGCCACATACATCTAAGGTGGCGGGTTCGAATCCAGCCCAGGCCCACCAAACAACGACGGCTACAACCAAAAAATAGCCAGGTGTTGTGGTGGGCGCCTGTAGTCCTAGCTACTTGGGAGGCTGAGGCAGGAGACTCGCTTGAGCCCAGGAGTTGGAGGTTGCTGTGAGCTGTGATGCCAGAACACTCTACCCAGGGGGACAGCTTGAGGCTCTGTCTCAAAAAAAAAAAGAAAAAAGAAAAAAGAAAGTGCCTGGAAAAGGCTTACCTTAACTCAAGCTGAGCAGTAAGACCCAGAAAATGTAGCTCCTCTCTGGCCTCTTCAGAAGGCTTTTATTGATTTTCATCAAAGGTGCATATGCAAAAAGATAGGGTCAAAGGAATCCCAAATTCCCAGGAAAACTGAATAGAGAGTCTGAGTGAGTGCTAGGGGGTTGGTAACAGCCTATAATATATTTAAATAGGCTCGGCACCTATAGCTCAACCGGCTAAGGCGCCAGCCACGTACACCTAAGGTGGCGGGTTCGAATCCAGCCCAGGCCCACCAAACAACGACGGCTACAACCAAAAAATAGCCAGGTGTTGTGGTGGGCGCCTGTAGTCCTAGCTACTTGGGAGGCTGAGGCAGGAGACTCGCTTGAGCCCAGGAGTTGGAGGTTGCTGTGAGCTGTAATGCCACGGCACTCTGCCCAGGGGGACAGATTGAGGCTCTGTCTCAAAAAAAAAAAAAAATATATATATATATATATATTTAAATAAAGGGGGATAAAGAAGCTAATTCTATTCACTCAGGGGAATTAAACCAAGTTTCCTAATCTATGTATTCAAAGAGTTTAATCCCTCCTATCTGTTGACTCTCCAACCACATAGGCCTACTCTAGCCTGTCAGGGTGCCTCTGGGTTCTTTTCATCTTCTTTGTATTTGAAGAACCCCCTGGTGGGGGAATATGTAGTCCTTGCATACCCCAGGATGAAGGCTGGGAACCTGGCAGACAAGTCAACCTATCAATTTCCCACATCTCCCTGTTATTATTATTATTGTTATTTAAATAGTGTTATTTAGAGTAGGGAAAGGTATTGGACAAAGAGAGAGGAATAGGGGGAACAGGAGGGTCATGTTGATTGGAGAAGTGAACAGCAACCAGGGCTTCAACACAGGTTATCTTCTGAAATAATCTATAAATAGCACTAATCCCTGCAATAAAATATAGCAGTAAGATTATGGGGAAAGTGGGAAAAAAATCCAAAGTCATAAATTAAGTCTGGAAAACCAATTTTTTTTTTTTGATTGAGTCAATCAGTTGCTTTGTTTAAAACTTGTAAAGTTTCGCCGGGTGCAGTGTATCACACCTGTAATCCCAGCACTGTGGGAAGCTGAGGAGGGAGACTCGCTGGAGCTCAGGAGTGAAAGACTAGCCTGAGTGAAAATGAGACCCCCGACTCATGAAAAAAAAATGGACAAACCCAGCCAGGTGCCATGGCAAGTGACTGTAATCCCCGCGGCTTCCGGAGGCTGAGGCAGCGGGATGCCCACAAGCTGGAGTCTGAGGTTGCATTGAGCTACCAAGCCACTGCACTCTGCTCAGGGGCACAGGGTGGGACTCTGTCTCAACAACAACAACAACAACAACAACAAAACTTGTAAAGTTTCTTTT